GCTGGCGGGCCTGGCGCTGCTCCGTGGCCCGCATCTTGCGTGGTGCCCGCGACTTGCGTTGTCGGAGTCGGGCGGGCTTCCCCTCCGGTGAAACCCCAACTCGCTGAGGCCCGTCGCCCTCACCCCGTTTGGGGCCCCTCAAATTTTACACTCACCAGCAGCCTTAGACAACTGGAAACAAAGGCTCGATGCCCAGCCTGGCCAGCATTTTGAAAACTTTAGGAGATGCTTAGTAGGTTTGGGCTGCTCGAATGTCACTGCAGGTACTAGTTGGTCCCAAATTAGAGTAGCAGATAGAGCTGGCAGAACAGGCTCAGGCACTGCGGGCGCCAGGTGTAAAGGGCCCGAATGTGCACCCCCAGATCCCAGTCCTGCTTAGGGAATCCGAGGCTGCAGCTTTCACAAAGCCGGTTAACCACTCACTGGGGTTTAAACTCAATTTGATGAAGAAATTGTGAGCTGCTCATGTCTATTTACACTGTGGTTTCTGGAGAATTTACTAGCAAAGGACGTTGAAGGCTGCGGGCATTTTCCATGCCGCTAAAGCAAACTCTAACTTCCCAAGTCTTGTAATCGTGGTTTGCGGAAGTGATGATGAAACACAATTGTCCTTCAGCACAGAACAAAAACACCTGAAGCTAGACATCAACCTCAAAGTAGCAATATCTTTATTTACAAAATATACAGTTTCACAGAAACAGCTTCGCTTTTTACACAAACTTTACAATTACACAGAACCATGTAAACGATGTTAAGTGTCTGGCCTGGCCAAAGCCAATGGGAGGGACCTGCTTTTGGGGTGACATCTTTCCCTCCTCACCTCATCAGCCACCAACCAAGAGCCCTAGCTGGGCCATGCCTAATTTGCATAAAGCTGATTGCAGCTGCCAGCTCAATCAACACAACATACAAAAAAAAACGAGGTGTCTTGACTTCTTAGACACCACCCACAGGGGTGCACCTGTTAAAAGAACCAAAAGGAAATAAACAGAAATTGAGATGAATGCCGAAGCCTTCCAGGAGCCACCCCGCGCTGAACCTTCGAAGAGCAGATAGCAGTCGCCAGCGTTGGCTGTTCCACTGTAACATCACAGGTACTCTTAAGTGCACCTTTAAAACTTCGTGGCGTTATTTTTAAAGAAACAAGAGAAACACTTTGGAACTTTGGCTATTCTCATGGTGAAGACACTGGACAGGCAATGTCCTGGGGCAGATCTTTGGCAAATTCCTCTCCCAACTTCTCCTGCACATTTGCCCTCGCCAGAGTCAGAGCCAGCTGTCTGGGGAGGAGGTTGTTTCTGAGCCAGCTTACCATTTCTCTCCACTGCACAACTTCTCCTTTGGGGATCTTGACAATAAACTGGGTTTCAGAAACTATGCCTATTTTTGTGTTAATAAAAGCAACAGAATTCAAAACAAAACAAAACAAAAGGCAGTTGGCTTGTCAAGCATGAATGGTACCAGGACAAAATATGGGCTCTGATTAGCCTACAGTTCAGCGCTTGGTGCTTCAGTGAGAACGTGGAGGTGGCCCGCGGGTGGCCCTGCACAGGGATGCCACCGGGGGAAGCCCCTGCCGGGAGACGGGTCCATCCTGCTGTAAACAAATATGACCAACCTGGGCATTCTTCCCTTTTCACACTTTTACAAGAAACAATGTTTATGAAAACACACCCATCAATTTACAAAAAAAAACAAACAAAAGAAAAACACCAATTTTTGAGAACCAGTATTTGACTGCTGAGAGCAATGTCAATTTGGGACAGCGCTGAAGCCCTCCTCCCGTGGGGCCCTAGGACCACCAGTGTCCCAGGGCACAATGGCCTGGAGCAGAGCCCACAGGGGTGTCCCCAAGTCCAGGTCCGAGGACCTCTGCACAGCTCACCGGTATAGACCCAGAGGCCAATGTTACCCTACCACTCACTCACCAACTCAAACCAACAAGGCTTCCAGTCCTAACATCGGCCTGTGGAACCAGCAGGCCAACCTGTCTGAGGGGACACTAAGGATCACCCGTGGGAGAGGCCCTCCTCCCAGTTCTCCTTTACCCACTCCCCACTCCCCAGTGACTGCCTAACCTTCACGTTGCTACTGAAATAATGTGGGGGAAGAGAGAAGAAGGAACCTAAGTGCCCTCCCTCGAAAACACCTTGCCTGGACACCAACTGGAGAGAGGGCACCCAGGCAAAAACCTGCCAATACTTTTGGCTATATCGTGCAAAAAGACAGTTTTTACATCGTGCAAAACGGGAAACTGAGTTATGAACACGGGCCACTTCAATCTCCCAACCAACCCTCTTTCTACAGAGAAGTGGCCACACATAACCCCTTTCAACAAACAGAAGGAAAACTAGGGACCATTAGCTCGCCCCCCGCCCCTGGCTCCTCTCGGAGTGAGGCCGAGGAGTCCAGCAGGCAGCCCCGGGGACAACGGGCCGGGAGGGCGGACCACTAAGGGAGGGGCAGCTCTGATGGTTGCTGTACAGACACTTATGGTAAAAGACACACTTAAGAAAACGCTTACACGTATGGCTGTTCGTTAACAGGCCGGGGAACAATGGTCCCCAACGCGGAAGCAGGAGTAACAGCACTTGTTCCAATCGGCGGGAGTTGGTCAACGAGAGCAAGGATTCACAACTACCCGGCCCCTCGTCGTCAGCTGACCACCCCCCTGCCCCGGGTGCTGAGTCCGCCTCCGCTGCAGAGATCACAGCTCTAGCAGCAGCTTTGGCCTCAGGACTTTATTCAGTCACCGGCGATGTACAGTTTACACCGTGGACAGCCTGTCCTTCTGCTTAGGCACCTGAATGGCAGGGGTCTGCCTGCATCAGAGCTGAGAGTTCTGTGCTCAACTAAGAAAGGGGCCAGAAAGCCCACCGTCCCGTCCCTTCCGGTTCCTCGCCCCGTCTCCTCACTCGCCAGCAGTCAGTCCAGAAACAGCTTCCGGGAGCCCATCCGGGAGCGGCTGGAGCGGCGGATGTCGAACTTGGAGTCCCGGCACTTTTGGCAGACAAACACTTCCGGCACGTTGGATTTCCGGATTTTGGCACAGGACAGGTGAATCCAAGTGTGGCACTCATTACACTCTATCATCGGGCGGCCGGCAAATGGCTTCATGCAGAAGCAGGTGACGAGGTCCCACGAGTCGTCGTCTGAAAGAGAGGAACACGTAAGAGGAAGGAAAAGGCATCTCCTGACCCCTCCCCACCAGGAGAGCTGCCCTCCACTGGGACAAGCAACAGAACCAGAACTCAACTTCCACTCACGGTGCCACCTCCCTCCCTGAGCGCATAGTAAGTGCACAGAAAGGGCACCCAGAGCTGTGGTCCCAGGGGTCACGGTGACGTGTGCACTCATGAGCCACATTATTTGTTTATTTCCAGGTCAGGCTCTCAGCGGTCTCTAGCGGCGATCACCCCCTCCCTAAGCACCTGCGCCCACCTTCCTGCACCTTCCTCCCTGGAAACGGTGGGCGCACTGAGGCAGGGACCTCCCCGAGACGCCGGCTGACAAGCACTCTCTTCCGACCACA